TCTGGTATAGGAAACCTGAAAAAAACTTTGGATGATGGGTTGACAATAATTGAAGAAGATGTTGAAGTATATATCATGATATGTGATGATGAAGGTTTAGATGTTATTCAATTATTTGTGAAGAACGGTCAGGAACCATTACAAGTGGTAAGTCCAAAAGGGAAACATGTGGTACCCCAAAGAGTACCAGTTGCTGCTAAGCAAACACTGACTTGGCATGAGATGGAAAATATGAGTGACGAGAGATGGAGTGCAAGATGTAGGTGATGAGGAATGCATAATGGAGATAGGGATGAAGGAGCAGCAGATGAAAATGTTAGAGATGAGGAAAGGGATAATCGAGCTTGGGATGAAGAAGATAGTGATGATCCTGATTTCATTGATGATGGGAATGATGATAATGGTTCAGAAGATGAAGACTATGAAAGTGATGAACCTAGCTAGTTGAATGAGGGTTTAGATGGGCCAGAAGATGATGATATTTTCTCACCAAGGGAGACTGTAAAGAAAAGAAATAGGTAACCTCCTTCACGTGATCAAGAGGCAGATGAAATTGGCCAAAATTCTCCACATTTCCCAACTTGGATGGGTAACACATCTTCATTTCAAGTAAACTCTCTCTCTCTCTCTCTCTCCCCCCCCCCCTCTCTCTCTCTCTCTTCTATACAACTTCATTTGCTTTTATAGTATTCCATCTCTCTCTCTCTCTCTCTCTCTCTCTCTCTCTCTCTCTCTTCTATACAACTTCATTTGCTTTTATAGTATTCCACAAAATGTAATTGCATACTTGTTTGTGTTGCAGCCCGCTAGTTATGGCAGAGGAAGAAGTGGGCCAGTTGGAGGTGGCAGGGTTATGTCCAGACCTGCATTAGAAGGTAGCTTCGTAACAAGAGATAAAGGAGGAGGTGGGTCTGCAAAAGCTACAACTCAGAGGCAAACTGACAAGGGCAAAGGAAAAGCATGATGGACTAGGCATCTGTTTTTGTGTTTTGAGTCAGCTTCTCTTGTGTTTTGAGTACTTTTCAACTTGTTAAATCATTAAGTGGGTTGTACCAATTTGTTTTTGAATTTACAACTAGCTAGTAAACAATAGTATCTTAGTTTACTACGTTTTGAGAAGCCCATTGGGTTGAATTATGGCTTGTATTAAAGTAATGTGAGTTGAATCATACAATTCTGAGTTGATATTTACACATTGTTTGTTTTGTTTGTCCACAGGTTTACTTATTCAAATAGTATTGTGTACCTTATTGTTTGTTTTGTATACCTTTATTAATCCACATGTTTACTTGCTGAAATTGTTTTGTATGAAGCAAATGAAACATGTTTCAAATAGGGGAACAATGGGAACAAACATATTTTTATTCTTTAATGTTCTTGGAAGATGTAATCAACAATTTTATTGCATTTTTTTGGTTCATCAGATGCTTACATTTCATGACCCAAAACATTCTTTCACTACAATTGCTTCACAGACCATTGTACCCCTTCATTTTCTACCTTCACTATATTTTTCATCTCTCAAACTCTATGGCCCAATAACAACCCATTTTTCTTTCCTCCAGCTAGCTTCACCTAGAACATTGGTATGATAAAGAAAAAAAAACCATGTCCCAAACAAAGCTTTGCAAAACATTTTCTCCCTTCTATGACTTCTTGTTAGTTCTTTCTCCAGCTGGTTCATCTTTGCAACCATCTTTGGCAACACCTCTCTCCCGCATTGTCACATGGGTAGATCAACCCATTCAAAGTAGCCACAAGTTATATCAACCTATAACCAAAAAAAAAATATGAATCCACAAATTCCTTTTGAAACAAAATTCAATCTTTTTTTCCAAAAAAAAAAAAAAATTTAAGTTTAGCTTATCCCATATCTTGCACAACCATAAAACCTTCTATCCATATTTCCAGATGTCATTAAAGTCTTCACAGGGGATCTCTCTCAACAATAACATAGTCTTGGATCATTTGTCCTTAGTTGTCCACTTTCGGAAGAAAATGAAGAAGCCATCCAACAATAATTTTCAAAATCTTCAATTTTGGAAAAATCTGGGCAATCTGGGCAGCTTTCAAAAAATCTAGGCAAATTTCAATTTGGGGTTCTATGTTGTTTGGGTCTTGATTTGTGTATATATATGGTAATAAGGGTGTTTTGGTCATTTGTCATATGTTTTTGGGTGGAAAAAACTACTCCACTTACCATTCATGGTCGTGCAACACACACTCTGTTTAAACAAACAGTTCTGCTGGATATTGCACTCTAGTATGATGTATAGGGGGTTTAAGTATTATAAATGAAACTATAAGGGGGCTCTGTGTTTTTGAGGCAACCATAAGGAGTTAAATTATAATTTACCCTAAACTATAAGAGGTCGTAACTAAGTCATAACTGAGGGTGTGTACGGTATGGTTTATGCAATTTGAGAGTAAAATTATAAATCAAATCATAAATGGTGCATTGACAAATAATCAAATCGCAGTTTGGAACGTTTTTCAATTTGATAGTTGATTGAATAAATATTTTTAAACAATTATCAAGTATTTGCATAATATATAATACTAATTTTTATAATATTTTTCATATATATAACACCAATTAATTTTTAGATAATATTTTTCATATATACAACTACTAATTTGCAACAAATTTCACATCTTAAATCTCTTTCACACTCATTTTTACTTTGATATTTTATTAGAGATTAAGAAAAATATATGTATTAATTATAGTAGGACAAAACGGTTTCGAAGACAGATTATAAGTTTTAAAGTTTAATCCAGGATTAGCGGATGTATCAGTGCGGATCGGGCGAGTTTAACAGATTAAGCAATATTTCGCATAATCCTAGTTATAATTAATATCACAATAAATCATGACCAAATACCATAAAAGTCATAATTTTTTTTTTTATTTACACACAATAAGATAAAATGTTAATAGATTAGTAAGTTAGATTAAAACGAAAGGGTCGCAATAACTCCATCAACTCGAATCCTGAACTTCTGAATTTCTCACTATACATGACATATGAAGTGTGTATTATAAAATTTACCTAAAATGTATCAATTAGATTTTCAATAATCAACTTTTTTATTTTTTAAATTAGAGCAGATACAAATAAATATATGTATATATATATATATGATTTAAAAAGGCAGTATAAATTCACCAACCAAACAGGGACTTTCCATCTGTGTATGAAAGCTGCAATGAGCTTCGATGATCGTGTTCACTCACATATGGCTCAACTCAACCCACTCACTTTATAGACTTTCTGTCAAGTCTGTGTGTCTACAAGGTTCTAACTCTACTTCCATTTTCAATGTGTGTCAACAAGGTTCCTCTTTTACTGTTCATTCAAATGTGTTGTGTTGGTATGAACCTTTTTTTGTTTTGTTTCCATTTTCAATGCTCATTTTCCTTTCTTTTTGGAGTCTTTATTTCTCTCTCCTCTTCACAAAAAGAGCATTGGACTGGTTACCCCACTCACACTTTGCATGATTTAGCAATTGACATCAACCAAAATTTAGGATTTTATCTATTAATTTTTTTTTTTTTTTTTCTTAATCTGTTGATCGAGAAGGAAGCCGAGAAACCACACTTGTTAAAAGAGGGGATGAGAGGTGCAAAGTACTCCTTGTCGGAAATTGGAGCAGGGAAGGAATACCCAATATATTGGGGGGCTTGGGGCAGTAAGGGTACCCTGTCCTGCCTCGTTCCGATTCGTTATCATTCCTATTTTTTCAATTTTTTAACCATTATGGACCCAAGTTCCCATCAATGTTTCTCATGTTCTTCTAAGCCTAAGTAATGGGTCGATTCAGTCGAAAATATTAAGTTTCAAGTCGATGGATTTCGACTAGTCATCAAGCCGGACAGATCCATTTTTAGGCCTGGACCGAGCCCATCGGGCATGAACTTTTGATGAGACATGAGACTTACTTCTAATTATTAACGCTTCTATCTTTTATCCTCTTGTCACTCCACATGTAAGCATGCATATAATTTTTTTTAAAATATATTTTTGTACATAGAATACATATAAAATTGTTTTGAAAACTTCCCAACATAATCATTAGAAGTTGTCTTATACGTCTTGACATGTCTAATATCTTTCATATTTATTGTTGAATTAGAAAATTTAGAGAGAATAAACTATAAAAATTAAACATTATTAATTTTTTACTTGTAAATGTGACATGGAGTAAACTTTGGAATATATTAGAGACCCATTAAAATATAATAAGAATGATTCAATTGGCACATTTGTGTGTAAAAAAGTATTGACAAAATTTGTATTACATTACGTAGCTGAAAAATAAGACTCATATGACTAGGTACTGACATTTTTATTTACGCTGTGCTTGGTTAAGAGATATAAAATGAGAAAGAGAAAATGAAAAAGTATATGAAAGTAGGTGAAATGTAAGTATATTAGCGTATACCCGTGCCTGAAGGCATGGCGTAAATAATGTTCGATGTAAATAATGTTGGGATTAAAATATAATTATAATTTCTACATATAATGTTAATTAATTAATTAATTTAATGCATCCTCAACATTTAATTGATCATGAGGAACATGAATATATTAGAAACAATGTATGCTGCCACCACACATAAGCCAATTTTGTTTGAATAATTGTAGGTATCATTAAAATTTAAGAAAAATTAACCACAAAAAAAAAAAACTAAAAATTTAATACTTGTAACAAAATAAACTATTGAGTTTTTAATTTTATAAATTTAAATATTAAATTTCTGATTTATTTTCAATCTAAACTATTTGCATGTTTTCAATCTAAACAATCTGAGATCTTTTACGTATTTTACTAAATAATAAATAATAAATAAATACCATTAACAATCCAAGCAATTTGTTGCTAGGAAGAAGTAGCCATCAGTCCTTTGCGGGGTCTGTCTTTCACATATTTTTTTTGCATTCTTATTGAAAAAAATAATAATATATCAACACATTTTGCATTTCTATTGAAAAAAATAATAATATATCAACACAATTTGAATAGCACATAAAATAAATAAAGATGTGATAGTGGCTAAGCATTTGAATGCGCAACACAATTAAGAAAACCGACCACTATCTCTTTTCTTACTCTGTTTCTTTTCAATTTCTTCACCATGTCTTCAACAGGGATAAAGAAATAGTCCATGAATCATGAGTGAAAATTTAAATTGGGTTATAGAAATAAAATAAAATGAAACAAAAATAATGACCCATGAGAGACATGCGGGTTGAAGAAAAAAAAATAAAAAAGAAAATGTTGAGATCCAAACCAATGTCAACAGCCCCCACAAACCAATGTCAAGACCCTTGCCTGACAACACAAAAAAGAAAAACAAATATATATCAGTTTAAGGTTTAGAAACACTAACCCAAATACATAACATAACTTAACACCAACCCATATAAATTGAAAGATGCATAAATAAAAAAATGAAAAAAGAAACAGAATACAAAAAAAGAAAGAGAAATCCAAATACATATCAGTTTAAGGTTTAAAAACACAAATCCAACACAAACACATCAGTTTAAGGTTTAGAAAAACAAATACAAATCCAAATCTTAGAAACACAAACCCAAATTGATGGGTCTCTTTTGCTTTGATTGAAAAGAAACATAATGATTGAAAAGATGAAATTTATTTATTCATTTATTTTGATATTTTCAAACTTTCCATTATTTTTGTTTTTGAAAACAACAAAAACATCGAAATTGAAAATGATATCACACTCCTTAAATCACAATCTGTTAGAGTTCGAACTTATTTTGTTAATCGCCTTTCCCCCCAACAGTTATTTTGTTGATGAATATCCCATTCGAGTTTTCAAGAACAACAGACGCGATAAAGTTGGCTTCCCAACACAACCAATGCAACTAATGGCAACTATATGGGACGGAGATAGTTGGGCCACGAATGGTGGAAAAACTAAAATCATTTGGGCTCATGCACCGTTTATAAGTCACTTCCGGGGCTTTGCCATTGACGGATGCCCCTATGATAGCTCTCACAGAAAATCATGCAATTCTTCCAAGTTCTGGTGGAATGAAAAGAATTACTGGCAACTGTCTCCTGACCAAGAAAGAAGACATCAAGTCATAAAGCACAATTATATGTACTATGATTACTGCAATGACAGAACTAAACACCCAACATATCCCCCAGAATGCCCACAGTGATAACAGCCCTTTATTTTCCTATTACATAATCATCTGACGATAAGTGCAGTTTAAAACTATTGAATTCACAATATAATATCATGCTTAATCACTTTCTACTTCTACTAATTCTCAACCTTCTCTCGAACTTAATACATTTTTCAGGACAACTATTCGGGCCTGTCTTTCTAGTTCTAAATACACGAAATATTGTAGAATTGAGCTGTACCATGTACAAAAATATGCATACAAACATTGATGAGCAATCATCAGAATCAATGCTTCATTTGTATATTCTTCTCATTCATAGCATAAGAATCAACTGTGTCAGAACTTCATACAGTATTTCTTGAACACAACCATTTGCCACTATCTCACCATCACAACCCTTCCATCAAATTAAGCAAACCAGAACACTACACAATAGACTTCATAGCAAAACAAAATGTTCCCAGACAAAATTCAAAATAAGCATTAGTTGCATTGGCTCTATAATAAAAAATCATCAAAATGTATGGAAAGTTACTTCATTCAAAATAGGTCCATTAAAAAATTGCACCTCTGCAATTGTATTGATAAAATCATGGGCCCAAAAAGAAAGAAAAGAAAGAAAAAATAAGATAAGGTCATTCAGGAAAAAACTTATGCAAATGTATTGCAACTTAGGCAATGAAAACTTTAACAAAAACTTATTTTTTGACCCAAAAGAAAGAAAATTCAACAAAAACAGTAAAATAATAATAATAAAAAAAACGTGTTTAACATATTGTCAAGTAAGTGAAGAGGGTTTTTGAATTTATATAATAAGGGAAAATATAAAATGACTTAAACAGGAAAATTCAAATGAAATGTAAAATTAAAAATAAATTTTAAAAAAAAACCGTCGTCCCGTATTAAAAAAATATAAAAATCTCAGCCATTCAAACAAAATGTAAAATAAAAAATAAAAAAAGAACCATTCTCCCTTATTCAAAAATAAATAAATAAAATCAGAGATGGGTATAGATGATTTACTGTTTTTGGGTCCATGAAAATCTACAGAGAACTTCTCCACCTTATGGTCACTCATCATCCTATTTCACAACAATCAAAACCCAACTATTAAAATAATAATAATAATAATAATAATAATAATAATAATAATGATGATGAGTCTATATTTATTCCATTAAAAAAAGTGGAGTTTGATCATGAGTCTATATTTATTCGATTAACTTAATTTTTTATGCAAATGATGTACTCAACGAATCCTATAATATAAATCATTCAATTCATGAAAATATGATCCAAACAAATCTTTAGAGTATGACACTAACACCCATCCCAAATCCACACTTAGAAACCAATATATATCTATATATAACACATTTAATTATCTAATACACACAAATTAAAGTCGGTACACCTTGTTAAAAAAAAAAAAAAGTCAGTACACAAATTACGACAAACTGTTTTAAACTAAGATCAGAAGAAAAAAATGGTCTTAAAATGGCTTATTCACACAAATTATCTTAATAAATTATCAAAAAAAATAATAACAAATGCGAGCCAGAACCAATATTGTCTAAAACAAAATATAAATACAGACGAAGCCCATTACTTCTGTTATTTCAAAGGATCTGAATTTATAAACTCCAAACCGTCAAAACTAAGTTAAAAAACTGACACCATGAAAATCATATTCTTAATTCAATCCAAATCTCCATACCAACTGTCAGAAATATATGAATTGATGATGATACATGTTTTCTTCTAACTGGGCTTAACAGAACTAACAAAATCATGTAAATTAATGATACAGAAAGATGGAAGGAAAAAAAAAATTTCATGATTTATAGACATGAAACCATAATCAACAATATGACATGATAATCTATATAACAAAAGAAACAAAATCTGATTCAAACATAAATTCAAATAAAGAGGTAATTTGTCCTCTTAATTTTTGAAAGTACACAACTGATACACTAATATGGAACCAATTAAGGCCATAAATAAGTTGCCCACAGCAGAAGTTATTAAATGGGAAGACTTGCAACTTATTATGATTATACCACATGTAAACATATACATATAATTGCTTTACATATTTGATAATATATCCCGATATGTATTAAAACTTCATAAAATGGGTGCTTAAATCTGTTCATTAACATGCTCAGATTTAGTGCACATTCATACACATTTATCAAAAGAAACACCACAAAAAAAAATGTCAATTCTGTCCATTTTCTCAAATAACCTATACCCCACAATAAAAAAAAAATGCTTAGGAATGTGGCAAAGTAGTTTTAAAGATTCAAATGACATGGAAATTGCATGTTAAAGCAACTCTAATTGTGTGCTTCCCCTTCATGCGAAAGCCAAAATTTGGCAACAACACTTCCAATTCATGTGCTATTTTTTGGTGCCAAATTATAACAATGCCAAAATTTGGCAAGAGCTCATCTCTCTATTCTCTAATGACAAAACCCTATTTGTCAACAAAGCCATTGTGATATAAGCTAATTGTTATTGTTGTTGTAGTTCTTTTTCAAAGCTAATTGTTGAAGTGTAAGGAAAATTCACCTAAATACAGCTGAACAAACATTAATTAACATGAATTTCAACAAATTCAATTCAAACAACATGAAAATGACACCATATTTTCAACTCAAATTAGACAGTAAAATAATAAAGAAATGAGAGAAAATAGTGTACATGGCAATTTATCTGTTGAAGAATTTTGATGGGTGTTTCCATCTTTGGGTTTGAAGAATCCTCCCAAATCCATCTTCCTCAACAATTTTTAGAAAGAGAGAGAGAGGAGAGAGGAGAGAGAAGAAAATACCTAAATTTAAAGGGCGACCAACGCCGATACATAATCATACATATATATACATCAATCTTTGAAATTATATACAAACATCCATATATGTCATTTCAAGGACAGGAACATGTAAATATAAGAGAGGGATGAAACTTCAAACCTGATTCAACTTTGGAAAGGTCAAGAATGTCATTTATAAGTTGAAGAACTAAATCTCCTGAAGATAACATGACACTCAATAATTGTCTTTGCTCCTTGTCAAGGTTTGTGGTGGAAAGAATCTCAGCCATGCTTACAACTCCTGATAGTGGAGATCTTATCTCATGAGACATGGTTGCCAGCATTTGTTTTGCTCGCATTGTTTCCTCTGCAAGAAGAATCCATTGGTAAAAAATGAATACCCTTTTCCTTCTAATGCTTATTCAAACCCACCAAGAATAAATCAAAGAGATAAACCTGTTATATGAATTGTTTTGTTTAGCTCTGTCTCCTTGGCACATATTGTATTTTTTGTTGTCATATAGTTTAAAGACCTATAAAACTTCTAAATTTTTTCTTTTTTTTAGGGGAAAAAAAAAAGGGGCATCGTGACGTTGAAAGAATCATATAAAATCATTGAATATAGATGTCTCAGCATTAGAAGAATTATGTACCATTTAAATGATTAAAACCATTAAAAAGAAGTCCATGTGTAATCATATGCACCCTGCTTTAAGGCCAGATGCTAACAAAAAGTACTGATAACCTAAATAAAGAGTGCTCAGACAACTTGTCATCTTCCTTTACTTGCCTTATATTCTGAGTTAATTTAGTTAAAGTCTCGGGTGAGCTTAAGCCCTCTGGATGATCTTCCACAGAATCTTCCTCTTTCTTAACGGGCTTTTCAGTGGGAAAACTGGAACTTCGTACAGAAGATGCCTTTCTTGCAATAGCTTTTGACCTTCTTCCTGTCATGGCAGTCTGTGTTGATACTCTGGGAGTGCAGACCACCAATGATGAGAGTGATCTCTCCTTCTCACAGATAATGTAACAGAAGCTGCAACTTCTGGTGCCTTCACCTTTCTTCTTTTGAAAGGGAAGATATTGATTCTTACATCTTGCAAGTTGTGGTCTGGCCTGATAACCAAAAATCAATGGACATGCTTTACAACAGAGTTCCATGTATTTCTAGATGTATGGTATACGTGCAATAATTTATGTGCATTTATGCAAAAGGAGCAAAAGTCCCAATGTGGTGTATAAACAAATTTGAGAGATAAACTAAGGAATATATGTACCATATGCCATGGGTAGATTTTCAAATCAACATACTACAGATGGAGATAGATTGCGGAGTGTAGCAATGACTGAAGGCCGCAAACATGCATGCACATGAGCAAGCATATAAGGGCAGGCTGCATGAGCATGGGACAATTTTCTTGAAGTTTTACACAGAGCGCTAGATTGATGTCGCATGGTAGAGTAAATTGGAAAAAGGTAATAAAAGAAATTATGAAATAGCAAAAACTGAAATCAATATTATTCTCAACATCAAAGGTGCTTCTTAATAACAATTAGCCTAATATTTATAAGCCAACCTGAGACATCGATGTTCAACGAATCGTGACATTGAAAGAATCATAACATAGGTCAAACCAAAACATTGAACATAAAAATTCAATACGAAGAAAAGCTAATAAGATTTTCTTTTCGAAATGGTAATCACAAATCAATTTATAATATTAGGTAGTGTTCAATTTAATGTTGAAGACCACCATGGCACTATACAGACTATTGAATCTTGTAAATGAACTCACCTGATCAGTTACATCCATACCCATGTAATTCACACCAATAGTATCCCCTGCGTTGCTGAATACAGGTTCAACATATATCAAAAATGTCTTTGACCCAAATAGTTCTGTCTCAAAAGTAATTTCCCTTTTTGCAGGTACTCCTCGTTCCAAAACTTCTGTTTTGAAGTCTTGAGATTCCTTTACACCAGCACCAGCACCAGCACCAGTGAATAATCTGTTTTGAAGTCTCCACATCCGTTTTTCCTATAATGTCTTGAAAAATCAGTGAATTTGAGGAATGCATGTGCCAAATTTTGCAAACATTGCTTTACAGAAATTACATGAATTACAAAAGTGAACAAATCAAAAAGAAAAGAAAAATGCATATTGTCAGGTTTCACACCAGCACTGAAATAAAGGATGCAAATTGTAGCAGAAAATAAACCTCAAATAAGAAAATCACTGGCAGTCAAATTACCTCCTCGTGCAAACTCATAAAATGATTATAGATGAAACGATACCGCAACTCTTTATCCTGAAAGAAATGAAAATGAACGCTAAGATATAGATGATGACTTTTCAAGAAACTTATTGTAGATGATAAGAAATGAAGAGATGATTTACGGTTTCTCTGCGATGGAGGACAGAGGTGCCGTCGTGGGTTGAGATCTAATAGGGAGAAGAGATGAAGAGTTGCTGTCGGTGGAGATCGGAGGCGACGCGACGGTGGAGACGACGCGATGGTGGAAGCAGAGCGGCAGTGGAGAGAAGGGAGAGGAAGAGAGAGATCTCTGAGGACAGAGTTTGAGACCTGAGAAGTTGGAGAGAGAGAGAGAGAGAGAGAGAGAGAAGTGTGCAAATAATGTTTGGAGTGGGTGGAACACAGGAGAGAGAGGGGATTGTTTTGGGCAGGAATTGAAAACAACACATCAAGGGGCCGTTGAAAACAACACATCTCAACCCTCAATGGTTAAAAACAACACATCTCAGCCGTTGAATTGAATTGTATCTCTGATACATTTTCACACAAATTCAAAATCCCTTCTCCCTTATTCAAAATCCCTTCTCACACATAAGAGATTCCCAAAACTACTGTAATTGTTTTGTAAGATACATCCCTTTTCTAATCATTGATAAAAGTGAAAGTATACAGAAAAAGATTTCAATTGTTGAAGCAATAATGGATTTTACAATTATAATAGACCTCATCGGTCAAACAATAAGGTATAATAGACCCTAAAAATATATTTATATATATGTATATAGATCAAATAAAATCAAATAATAATAAAATCCCTTCCATAATATAAGGAGTTAATTCCCAAAACTAACCAACAATACAAAGTAAATGAAATAAAGAACATTGGTAGGTGTCCTGGTGGTGTGAAATCAATAATCTTCTGAACTTTTCAACCATGTATAACAACAAAACAATATTTTAGGCATTGTGGTACAAATGCAGAAACAATACCAATTACACCATGTATAACAACAAAACAATATTTTAGGCATTGTGGTACAAATGCAGAAACAATACCAATTACACCATGTATAACAACAAAACAATATTTTAGGCATTGTGGTACAAATGCAGAAACAATACCAATTACACCATGTATAACAACAAAACAATATTTTAGGCATTGTGGTACAAATGCAGAAACAATACCAATTACACCATGTATAACAACAAAACAATATTTTAGGCATTGTGGTACAAATGCAGAAACAATACCAATTACACCATGTATAACAACAAAACAATATTTTAGGCATTGTGGTACAAATGCAGAAACAATACCAATTACACAATGTATAGCAACAGAACAATATTATTGTAGAAAGCCTACTATTTTGAGCATCCCCTTTAAGTGAATAAATCTTCCCTCTACAGAGATGAACCTTAACAACAGTCTCAAAATGCAAAGCTCAAAATGTATTGTTTTTCCACTTCCAGTTGGTGCCAAAATGACCATATTTACATCATTCTATTTAATCAAAAACAGAACCAGCCTACTACTACCCCAGTCTATCAGACATCTAGATTTTTAAATTTTGCCTTTAAAATCCCTGTTTCTATACCAAGAAAATGGCTTAGGCAAACAACCATTGTTGAGCTTTGGTGACCCACCATGAAACAAACTCCAAAATATAATTAGGCTCCTTATTAGAACATCATCATACCAAAAGGTTAAGGAAGAAACTGCAATGCCTTTAACCCACCCTAATTCAACCCAATAATCACCAATTGACCAAAAATTCAAGGCGTAAAAACAAAACCCAGAAAAATCTAACAAATAGAACCAAAATCTAACAAATAGAACCAAAGAACTGAAGAACTAAAGTACCTCTATTTTGGGGTTTGAATTGCAGCAAGGGAAACGCAAAAACACACAGCCACAAAAAACAAAAACAAAAAAACAGAGAGAGGAAATTCAAAAAATAGAATAGGTCATTTAAGATAATAAAGAACATTACCAACAAATTTACACTATTAGTTTAATAGTGAAAAAAACTATAAAACTATAAAACAAAAAAAAGTTGAAGAAGCATTCTAGGGTAAACTGTGTTCACATGGTTTTGCTTATAACCTGTGTTCTTGAATTTCTTCACTTCTTCCCATATATGCCCTTTTAAAAGAGAAAATAGATTATTATAAAACAAAAGAAGAAGATGAAGCATTCCAGAGAAGTTATGGATGACATGTAAACTGTGCTCACATGGTTTTGCTTATAAACTATGTTCTTGAATTCCCTCACTTCTTCCCATATATGCCCTTTTAAAAGAGAAAATTGATTACTACTTACTTTAGGAATTCAAAATTTAAACAGAAGCAAAGAAACAAATTAATTGGCAATAACCCTCAATTAATGGGCCCTTGAACCCCACTCAAAAACTTCATAGTAAAACAATCCAATTCCAGAAACTATACAGAAAGTAATCAGTAATAGATATATTGTAAATTCTTAAATGAGATCAATAATCTTAACACTTATGCATCTGTTGCTAAAGTAGTTCACCCTACGTTTATTTGCAGGGATTGGAAGGACATAGACTGTGCAGACTGGGACAGCCTTCAATAATCCGATGAAACCTCGTACAGGGCAGGAAGCCAGCTTGATTCGGGATGATGTCACAGTTTCTGTACATGGGTTTTTACCGAGGAAGCATAAGAAAGAGTGTAGACTTTCATTAGCCCAGAGTAGTTGTCTAAAACTTAAATAGACATTAATGTACCTTGTGTTTTGTAAAGAAATCATGTATTTTGCAAGGTTCTTTTTTAATTTAAATATATAAGAACCTCAGCAGTGGATGGTCAAATGTAGTATGTAGATCCGTGTTGTAGGTTATATACATACATGCTTTACCTTACTTTACTTTCTATGATTTATTTGCTTTGCTTTGCTCTAAAATTTAACTCGTGTGGTTAAGATTTATTTGCATAGGCACTTTCAAGTTGTGTTTGGGATCTTGCATTTGTGCAGTGAAAAGAGAAGGGAAAGAATTTGTGTGTGTGTGTGTATTTTTTTCTTTTTTTATAAATTTTAAAACCACCCTCTATTTCATTTGCAAGTTCTTTATTGTTTTTTCTTCACAAATCAAATTTCCCAAGTTCTCTGTAAATGTATAGATCAAATACAAACCCCTTGGGTTTTTGATGGCTGGTTCTTATTCTAAAAGATACAAATTTTATAGAAGGAACTTCCTATTGAAATTTGGTTTGTAAGGGAAGAAAGTTGAACATGCAGTTTTTTCATAAAACCAGCAGCAGCATAATCAAACAGAACAGAGCAAAAAAAACCCCAAAAACCAGAGCAAAAACCCCAGCAAAACAGCACACAACATCAGCAAAAATTAGCAGAACTGAGAATGAAGACCCAAGACAACTCCTGAGTTATTAAAAATTGAAAACAACTCCATTAACTGAGAATGAAGCTCCACTGATATGAAGATTTCAGCCAAATTGTAAAAGATACATTGTAAATTCTTAAATGAGATCAATAATCTTAACACTTATGCATCTGTTGCTAAAGTAGTTCACCCTACGTTTATTTGCAGGGATTGGGAGGACATAGACTGTGCAGACTGGGACAGCCTTCAATAATCCGATGAAACCTCGTACAGGGCAGGAAGCCAGCTTGATTCGAGATGATGTCACAATTTCTGTACATGAGTTTTTACCGAGGAAGCATAAGAAAGAGTGTAGACTTTCATTAGCCCAGAGTAGTTGTCTGAAACTTAAATAGACATTAATGTACATTGTATTTTCTAAAGAAATCATGTATTTTGCAAGGTTCTTTTTTAATTTAAATATATAAGAACCTCAGCAGTGGATGGTCAAATGTAGTATGTAGATCCGTGTTGAAGGTTATATACATACATGCTTTACCTTACTTTACTTTCTATGATTTATTTGCTTTGCTTTGCTCTAAAATTTAACTCGTGTCGTTAAGATTTTTTTGCATAGGCACTTTCAAGTTGTGTTTGGGATCTTGCATTTGTGCAGTGAAAAGAGAAGGGAAAGAATTTGTGTGTGTGTGTGTATTTTTTTCTTTTTTTATAAATTTTAAAACCACCCTCTATTTCATTTGCAAGTTCTTTATTGTTTTTTCTTCACAAATCAAATTTCCCAAGTTCTCTGTAAATGTGTAGATCAAATACAATCCCCTTGGGTTTTTGATGGTTGGTTCTTATTCTAAAAGATACAAATTTTATAGAAGGAACTTCCTATTGAAATTTGGTTTGTAAGGAAAGGAGGTCAAGAGCTTTATGAAACCACCTGAAATGGAAAGAAGTCATCGAACTACCTGAAATTGCAACCACCAAACAATGCTGAAAAACCATGAAAGGGTCTGTCAAATTAGAAACCTGTGACAGAACCAAAAAAAATAACCAAAATAGAACCCTAAAATAACAAAACATCTATCAAAAACATCTAAATTTTTAATAAAATAGAACCAGCAAAAACACAAATTAATTGACAATAACCCTCAATTAATTGGCACTTGAACCCCATTCAAAAACTTCATAGTAAAAGAATCAAATTCCAGAAAATGTAAACCAATTATATTTTTTGGAGAGCCAAAAACAAATAGAGATAGAGAGAAAGGGGGGGAAAAAAATAAAAATCATGAAACCACCTGAAATAGAAAGAAGTCAGCGAACTACCTGAAATTGCAACCACCAAACAATGCTGAAAAACCATGAAAGGGTCAGTAAAATTAGAAACCTTGAAAAAAAAAAAAAAAAAAAAAAACTAAAACAGAACCCTAAAATAACAAAACATCTATCAAAAACATCTAGATTTTAACAAAACAAAACCAACAAAGAAACAAATTAATTGACAAAAACCCTCAATTAATTGGCACTTGAACCCCCACTCAAAAACTTCATAGTAAAACAATCCAATTCCAGAAATGTAAACAAATTACATTTTCTGGAGAGCCAAAAACAAATAGGGATAGAGAGAAAGGGGGGGAGCAAAAATCATGAAACCGCCTGAAATTGAAAGAAGTCAGGAACTACCTGAAATTGCAACCACCAAACAATGCTGAAAAACCATGAAAGGAACTGTCAAATTAGAAACCTGTGACAGAACAAAAAAAAAAACCAAAATATAACCCTAAAAACATCTAGATTTTTAACAAAACAGATCCAGCAAAGAAACAAATTAATTGGGAATAACCCTCAATTAATTGGCACTTGAACCCCACTCAAAAGAATTTCAACCATTTGAAGCACCTATATTGACAATTGTGTTTAAGGGACTGAACCTGTGGAATTTACCAGTGGAAGTTCTTCCAACAATAATCTAGATCTGTATGTGTTTGAAAGGTGATGCCAGGAGGTGAAATTGATTCAAGTAGTAGTCTGGTAGACATTTGAAAACTTTTGCCCAAAACAATGCCTAGAACTTCTCAGAAGATTTGAAAGCAAATTAAGATTATGATGGTGGTCCTGTAAATTGCAAGGGACATTGGCAGAGTAAGGATGGGCCAACCGACAACTTGAATCTGGGGTATCCAGTTGTTTTCAGTTTCCTGCATGCTTATGCCATGGCAGGTTTGAATTCACAGTAATAGTGACTTGTGAGGATAAGAATTTGTAGGTAATAGTGATTTTGCTTGATGTTTTGAGTTGTGCTCTAGAGCTAAAACACCAGAGATAAATGGAAATGGTGAA